CCGACGTGGGGCTTTGAGAGGCACCAGTTGGGGCGGTCTGGTGAAGGGAGGTGACATCGAGTGGAGTGTTTTGACGGGTTGACGTCGGCTGTAGCAGTTGATATCGACGGAGAGGAGAAGTGGGACGTTCAGCTGCTGAGCGAAAACTGTGTGTAGATAGTTTGGCAAGTTATTGGACCTCAGGCGTTGAATGTGGACATCGGATTTCAATGACTCGGTAGGTTGACTGAATTATAAAACTCAGAGCACCACAGACTGTAAAGTTCGACGTGAGGCGTGGCGCAGACTGCAGCAAGCGTATAATGGCAAGCAGAACAACCGCAAGAGCGGTCGTTTAAAATGGGGACGAGTGTGATGTGTTCTAATTATGTCGACAAACAAAAGTTTTATGTAAGACAGATCAGAAGGAGTGTATAGCAGCATAAGGCTATGAAGTTCGACTTGAAGAAAACAGAATGTGAATTTTACCTCTCATCTATATTTTACAGTTAACTTTTTTGATTAGCCCGATTTTTCTTAACATTATCCACTAAGACGTTTGATTCAAATAAAATAATTGAGCTTTCCAGATTGTTTTCCTAACTATTCCTATTGTGATAAACGATAAAATCAGTGAGTACAACCAATGGTATTTGACACAAGACTACAAAATATCCAAGTAAAATCTGAGAACGGTAAAGTAAATACTTCATTTAAAAAATGTCAATCAATCGTCTCAGACTTGACAGTTACTTCGTTTCCACACCAATCACTCTCTGCTCTGGTTCTTTATTCTTTGATCTTCTTAACCTTATGTCACCAGACATTTCGCTTCCGATGAATGATACATACTACTTATATCTATCGATATCAGTAGCACACAACAGAATATCATTTATTTTCAACTTTATAAACTAATAGATTAGAAGCACTTTCATGTCTATATCAAATGAATTAGTTGAATACATGTCAACTATGTAACCAAAAATCGTTTGTTCTGTTTATCCTTTTTATGAACTATAAGTTTTAGTTGTGTTTTTTTAATATTAATTCGATAATCTACTCTCATAACAAATAGTTATTTTTATCAACATTGATGCTTCCTTAATTTGTAATCTGACTTTTCTTTGTCGATTGTCCATGTGACATTTAACTATGAAAACGTAAAATGAAACCAAATTTACATTAAACAATTGGTTTCGCAATTCAAAATATGCGAAATAAGTTTACTAAATGATTATTATCACTATTATTATTATTATTATTATTATTATTATTATTATTATTATTACTGTAGTAACATATAACGTAATAGAGTCACAAGTGTACAATATGTATTAAATGTCGCGTAATCTAAATTTAGAAAATAAATAATCGGTTTATTTAAATCTGAACAATAGAGGTGAGGACAATGATTTAGATAAAATTCCTTTTTTTCTTTTCTTTTTGTTAACGTATGAATTAATTAAGTAATATTTATATCAGAATGGGGATTTGTAATAGTTGTATTCATGAGTCGACTCATGAATCCCCTACTGCCATAATAATCATGTGCTCATTAGTGTTTAGTATCAAGATGAAGTTCTAGTAAGAAGCCGTGAAAAATGCTGTCCAATCCATTTTGGATGTGAGACAGTTATCCAACACAAACAATGAATGTAGTGTTGTGCAAGATCATAGATTGATTGAAGTTACACATTAACACCATTGGATGCTGGCTCAGTGGTCTGTAGATTAAGCATTGATGTGCGTGATCGAAGGTCCTGAGTTCGAGTCCCACATGTAGAGTTGTGAATGAGCGATGCTGATTAGTCTCATACTATGACGAAAACGTTGTTCAATGCTTTACAGTTTTCAATTGTGGTGTAGCTTAGATCGACTCATGAATTTAATTATTAGTGTATATATGTATAATTTAAGAGAAACTACTGATTGTCAGAAAGCTAATATTTTTTAATTGGTCTTGCCAAGTTTTTTAAAAGTATTGAAATATCTAATTACAGATTTAAAAATAGCTTCTTATTATTTCATAACTATGTCAACTTTGGGTGTGAATACATTTTTATTGAGTTACCATTTGATTAGTTATGACGGCCTGCTTGAATGTCTGGGCAACCTGTTCCACCGATCTAGATATTTCATCAAGTTATCTGTTTTCTTGTTTGTTTTAGCACATCATTATGTCTATTATGCTCACAATCAATTCAGGCGCGTTTATGAAAAGTTTACAACCTTTCGCTATACGGGTTACAAAAAGGTACGATCAGCGACATCATGGTGGCTGGCAATATGCATTGAAGCGAATGAACATTAATCAAATGTGGATTACCGAACTCTTAACATGTAACTGGTCATCATTCAAAATTTATCGTCACAATCGATCGAGATATAAGAAAAGGAAACTTGTTGAAATACTTTATGCTGAGAATTCTATATTGTACCAAAAATGTAATGTTGAATAAAGCTTCTAATAATAATAATAATAATAATAATAATAATAATAATAATAATAATAATAAATGAAATAATTTTAGTTACTAAAGTTTCAACCATCAGCTCCATGTTTAGTCCATTATTCGAATTCACCGATGATACTCTAGATATATTCACATACGACACTTCATAACATTTTTTATCTTATACTAACAGAACAATGCCCTTTAGTTCTAACTTAATGTGAAGTAATGATTCACTAAAGAAATTTGATAGAGACATTCACTTGTAATGCACAAGTGGTAACAGTTTAAATAAATGACATAATAATCTAAACTGTCATGAAAAGATGTAATTATTTACCAGTGATATGTAAATTGTATGGCGCATTATTTGTTAACCATCAAAAAAAAACATAATTGCATCACGAGAATAGTGATAATAATTAAGAGAATGTTTTGGTATTTCAATTGACCTATACAAACAAATTTTTTAGTCACATTACACGTATTACAAAATAACTTCAAAGAAACTTGGCATTTTACTGACGTAAGTTCAACCAAATAAAATACTCTTTTATAGAGATCACGAGTATGAAATAATCACAATAAACGGAATTGTATTGATAGTCAATCTGTTGTTACTAAGAGTTAATTTCGGGAAGTAATTCCTTGAGTTTTTTTATGAAGCTATGATCAGTGCAATTTAAAAGTGTCTGATAAGAATTAAATACTCACCGAATAACATAGAGCCTGGTTTTGTAATATTAGGAATCGATTGAAGGTCAACATTTAAAAAGTTAGATGCCCTTCCCACGGGACTTAAAGATCTAGTATGCTACCACCTATGGAGGAGTTGTTAACACACGCTTATTAAAAGCCAGATTCCTAAACGAAACAACCGTCCAATTCAATATTTGTCTAAGTAAGATAGATTTATTATCTCAATTACGTTCAACAATTTTCACAAACTTTATTTTAAACTAAAACTTATCATTTAAATGTGGTTAAGTGTATTCCTTTACTTTCATCATTATCTTCTAATGATTATGTCATCTAATATATTCACAAAAATCCTATCAATATAACTTATAAATTATTCTCAAAAGACGTGTTCTTGTTGATATTATAGTTGGTTTAATAGTTGAGATTATGAGTCAATTGAAGATAGATCACCATGGAAAACCTGCATATACTAGAGGGCCATTTCGTCTTAGTATGGGAATTCACAGAAGTGCGCATTCACCATTGCGACTCACCAAATTCCAACCGAGGACCTATAAGTTTCGCGCGCCACCACTTAACCACTAGACCATTGAACTGTCCGGCATTCAACGTTGTTAATGTCTAACATCAACTAATCCACGTAATTCAGTCACAAATTCACCATTGTCATTAGTGAGTTACTATCTCACAACAGACCCGGTTCAACTCCACTGTTCACTGTTTCTCACTAGAACTCCATAAAATACCTCTTGAAGCCAATCACTAGTAAGCATATATTAATTAATAACAGAACGGGTTTATTTATTAATATAATAATTTCAATAGTTGAGATCATGAGTCGATTATATTTAGACCATCATGGAAAACCTGGAAAAATTGCATGACCATTTCATACTGATATAAAACTCTTTAGCGAATCTTCCGTGATAAACTATCCTCAATTGACTCATGACCTTTTCTATTAATTAATCACTCAATTCGTTTAAAAAAATAAACAATTCATTTTACATCAAGTATAATATATTTAATCAATACTTTAGTTAATATCATTCATTCTATTTCTTGTTTCATGTCATAACTTCTGAACCTGTGTGGCCTGGTTATTGTATAACGCAACGATACCACCTATTAGAGAGCAGCGAATGATCGATCGAACTAGTGACGCATAAAACACGTGCGAGCAACCTAGAATTCTGATGGGTCCTACTTCCTGTCTAACCCAGTCAATTAAGCCCAGAACACTAATTTCAGACTCCGCAATATGAATCATTTATTTCAAACATACTCGGTTTATATACCAATCAAACAGACCACAACGTACCAGAAAATATGAAACAACATTTGTACAATATTTAGCCAAAAGTGACTGTGAATGAGAGAGAGGTAGTAATTAATAGACACGAAATAATTCAAGAATGGTACATCGTATAATAATAGTTCATAAGTCAAAATAAAACTTATAATAAGAGGGATATGAATAATGAACAATTTAGTTACATAACAATTATATGATAAAAACATACTCATGGTATTGGTTCACAAATAGATCCCAAAACTTACCATTCATTATTCTTATCGGGCTATAACATTTCCACTCAATTCTTATTGGTTCATTTAATGAACAACCAATCAGATTTCATTTAGTTAAAAAAAATACAAAAAAAATTATTCAAATAAATAAAGATAATATTTCTGTATCCTTAAATAAATAATTCACAATTTAATAAAAAAACATCATTTCTAATAAATTAATATCAAATTAATAATTAAATATAACAAATGAATTAAATTATTTTATAACTATGAAATAATTAAATAAATAATTAATTAATTCAATACAATTGTATTATAAAAAAATATTCAATGAACAATAGTATTGAATTGAATTTAAATGTTATTGAATTCATCAATAATCAAACATGTTTATTATTTATAAAAACATTTTATGATTTACCATCAACATATCAAATGAATTCAAATATTTATTCCATTATAAAATCATTACATTATTATGATCATTATTATGATTTATTACAATGGAATATTATTATACCAATTATTATTGTAATATTAACAATTATTGGTAATTCATTAGCATGTTTTATAGCATTTAATGATAGACATTTAAGGCATAAATCAAATATATTTTTTATATCATTATCTATTACAAATATTATATATTCTAGTATAATTATGTTATTTAATATCATTTATAATCTTATTCATCCATTATATTTTAATGATTTAATTATTAAATTATTTTTTTCATTAGATAAATTATTTTGTACAGTAACTATATTACATTTAGTTGTTATGGCATTTGATCGTTTTATTTATATTAAATCACCATTAAATTATTCACGTTGTATTAAATTAAAATATTTATTAATTATATTAATAAGTTTATGGTTTTTAGCCTTTTTAATCACAATTATCCCAATTCAATTAAATTGGAATCATATTACTGATAAACAATCTATAACAATCAATAATAATAATGATAATAATAATAATATAATCAATATATATGATACAAATCAAAATTGTACAATTGAATCATCAATTCATGAAATTCCATTCAAACAAATCAATTTATTATCGATTTATAAAATACAAAAAAATTTTATATGTATTCATAAAGTTAATCTATTTTATACAATAACCAATACAATATTTAGTTTTATTATCCCATTATTGATTATGATAATAATATATACATATTTATTTTTAGTAACAAAACAACATATTAATCGATTAAATATATTTTCAAATTTTAAAAAAAATTATTCAAATCATTTAAATTTGAATGATCATTTGAATCATCATCATAATAATAATAATAAACAATTTATTGATTTATTACATAATTCATCTAATTTTTTAAAAAAATGTAAAACATTTTTAAATTTAAATTCTATTGATTTCAATGATCATATTATCAATAAATCAATAAAAATCTCAATGAATCCATTAAAAATTTCAACACAATTAAATAATAATAATAGACAATTCAATGATTCATTACATTATATGAATATAACAAATAAAAATGATTTAATAATAAATACAATCAATAAATCAATACAATTTACAAATCATCATTCATATATAACTATAGATCAATCAATGAATACAAGACGTAAACATAGTTTACCATTATATAATATATCAAGAAATTCATCATGGAATACCTATAATAATAATAATAATAATGGGAATCATATAACACGTCCACAAATAATAATAAATTATCCAGAAAAACAAATATATAATGCACATAAAGCAGCAATTACATTAGGTGTAATATTAGGTTCATTTACAATATGTTGGTTACCATATTTTACAATTAATTGTATAGCATCATTTTGTGATTGTATACCAAGTAAGTATAGTTTGATATTCGTAATTATTATTTTTATTATTGTTGTTGTGACAATGAATTACATAATTTATTTTGATTCATGATTTCAACTATTGAAATAAACTTTTTCTGATATTAATTAATATATGCTTACTAGTGATTGGCTTCAAGAGGTATTTTATGGAGTTCTAGTGAGAAACAGTGAACAGTGGAGTTGAACCGGGTCTGTTGTGAGATAGTAACTCACTAATGACAATGGTGAATTTGTGACTGAATTACGTGGATTAGTTGATGTTAGACATTAACAACGTTGAATGCCGGACAGTTCAATGGTCTAGTGGTTAAGTGGTGGCGCGCGAAACTTATAGGTCCTCGGTTGGAATTTGGTGAGTCGCAATGGTGAATGCGCACTTCTGTGAATTCCCATACTAAGACGAAATGGCCCTCTAGTATATGCAGGTTTTCCATGGTGATCTATCTTCAATTGACTCATAATCTCAACTATTAAACCAACTATAATATCAACAAGAACACGTCTTTTGAGAATAATTTATAAGTTATATTGATAGGATTTTTGTGAATATATTAGATGACATAATCATTAGAAGATAATGATGAAAGTGAAGGTATACATTAAACCAAATTTAAATGATAAGTCTTAGTTTAAAATAAAAAGTTTCAGGAAACTCCGTTTCATAATAATATCTTTTCTATTATTTATTGAAACCTTTTCATTGATGTTTAGGACTACAATTGGTATATGGATATCCTACATGGATAGCCTTGATATTGTTTTAAGTTACAAACATTTTAAGCAAAGCGACATTTTTTAATATTAATGGAAATACTCAAACAAATAATCTTATTGACATATGTGCAAACTGTGCGTATTGTCTTGATATTGTCATAATTCACAAGCATTGTAAGCAAAAAGAGATAGTGGCTCGTAATGGAATCCAGGACTCATCAATTTGATGTGCCTATATCTCAGACTGACCAATTACATTTTTAAGGAATACCAACTGAATTTAAACTTCAATCTATTGTACAAGCTAGTGACTACCAGGACTCAATAGCTTAGTGGATAACGTAATAATGTTTGAAGCGAATGGTATTGCGTTTAAGTTTCAGAGTCAACATCAAATCTGAAATGCAGCTATATTCAGCTGACCAGTCTTGAGAAGGTCGAAACATGCGTTCTGGATATCACTGCTAGTCATCATTCATTTTTGCTTATAATTACATGATTATTGTATACTTCATCCTTGTAACCATTAAATACTAATTTTGCGCTAATAACTTAATTATGAATTCTATGTCATTAGATGCTAATTGTATTACAAAAAATGATTCGCCAATTTTAAATTGTTGAGTAGTGTACCTAAAAATAAGAAAACTTTCAAATGATTTGGTCTATTATTAGTAACTATAAGCATGATGGTTTCAAGCCAAATAAGCAAGAGAAAACTTGAAATATTTCATATTGGTCGTCATATATTTCTTTTGCATACTCCTAACATGATTTTGCGAAAACGTTCGGATTAGTATAAATTATGCAATCAGTAACTTTTAACTATTAATTTGTTTGAAAAGGTGTAGAAAAATTAAATTGATTTAGTGATTATAGTATTTCAATTTCACTCTGTCACTAAAAGAACTCCGCCTGGAGTCCCTACGGGGGCTACTGCCGGTCTCAAACCCGGACAAAGGAGGAGGGTTGGGCATGGGGTTAGCGACCCCATCCCGTAGAAAACTAACTCGCTAAAAAACGCTAACTAAAAGTAAAGACAGCAAATAAAGAGATACGCTATATATATTTCTTTGATGATTTTCATCTTGATTATTACCCTAAAGCTCCGATAAGTTAACTGGACGAAACGTTCAAATTATTTAAATTTTAATCAACTAAGATTATTTCAGAACACAATTTTCACTTTTCTATAATCGATGCCCAATTTTTGTCAAATTATTCTTTTTAATATTGACGAATATTCATATAAATAGATATAGAATTGTGAAGTAAACTTAGGATACACTTTGTTATTACTAAACATACGAAGTTTGACAAAATATTTAAACATAATGAAACTTTAACAAAAAGAAATGACAATCTAATTTCAATGAACCTGTCACCTATTATATTGAGCTAGTAGATTCTTATGTTTGTTAATAATTATACTGTAATTCGAATGAATTTGATAGATCATAATCTAATGTGATGAACTTCTCCGTTTGCCAATTATTTTTTAACAAATACTAATAATTAATTACTTTGTGATTAAATGATGGGTCATACTTATTATGGATGAAGAGCTCAGATGGAGATAACCAATTTATTGCTTAATGTGAAATTATACAGTGTTTTCGCAAAATATGGAAAGCATACACTAAATATGTCATTTGCACACCTTTCATCAGTTGTCTCTTGGATACTCCGTCGTTCCTTCATTATTATTACAATTACTCTCTGTTTACATTCCTTTTATCTTCAATTCGATCTTCTCAATCTTCTGCTGACAGACATTCTACTTCTGATTAGTGTTACATACTACTTATATCTGTGAACATGAGAAGCATGCATCATATACATATATAATATACATATATAATGACTTTGGTAATTAGTTAGTTACTAATTTAATTCGCAAGCTTTTTTCATCACAGACTGATCCGAATTTGAGAACCATTGTAAACTTGCTGGTATTAAATAACTTATTAGTTCTGCATTTGTTCTAGAATCTAATGTTCCAACGGTTAGACAAGAGCATCAATTTCCTTGAAATTACAGGTTCACTTCACTAACGAGTGATAAGTAGCACGAAAACTCTGTCCAAAGTTTCCTGTCAATAACTTATTGGTTTAATATCAATTTAATGAAAAATAAATAAATCAAGCTTCTTTGAATTAGTCACTTCAACTTTCTTTATGAATAGCTATAGAATGGATTGTTTGATATAATACAATAGTTTAATTTTATGTATACTATCAATAAACTGAAAAATGATAGGGGTTTATAAATATAGAATGAATTTTCCATAGGAAATTTTATAATAACTCCTTAAATATATTTAATAATGTTTTTGATTGAGATCATGAACCATTGAAAACCAGAATCCTGTGAGTAGAATCGTGGATGCGCACTGTTGACAACTTCTACAATAAAATGAAATAACCATTCAGTACTTCTAGATGTTCAATAATGATCGAACATCAATCGGTTCGTGATGTTAATCCAAAAAAACTTTATAATCTCTATAACTCACTAATGATAATCATATTTATTTGATTTTTTTAAATCGTTAATTTCAATTATAAATATTCATTATCAGTTTCGGGGTTGTGAAGATTGTTAAGTTTTTTGATTGAGATCATGAACCGATTGATGTTAGGTTAAGCGTTTGCGCGCAAGACTGAAGGTCCTGGATTCGAATTTTGCCAGGCACGATCGTGGATACGCACTGCTGAGGAGTCCCACAATAGGACGAAACGGCCATCCAGTGCTTCCAGGTTTTCAATGGTGGTCTAACATCATTCGTTTCATGGTCTCAATCAAAAAAATTAATATTCATTCTTTATTTGTTCATGATAAATTCAAAAATATGTTTATTGGTATTTATTTACTTTTCACTTTATATGATCCGATAAATATTTACTCCTGTTTACTGTTTATATGGTAGTATGATAGTAGTACGAAAAGACAAACAAACAATAAATCGATAATCGATATGAAATGAAATTTATGAAGAAGAAAAAGGGAAAGTGAATTGAACACTCTGTTGAATCGAGTGAACAAAATAATTGATCTTATTCTAAATGGTTATGTAATAAAAATTAATCAATATTGAATGAAGATCTATTTAATTTAATATTTAAGATTGTTTATTCATCTGTTGTAATTAGGTAGTAAAAGATGAATTAGATTATAATTTTTCATACTATTAATAAGAATCAAATGTTGGAATAATGGTTTTACTTGTTGTTTTCTGAAGAGTTTATTGAGATTACGTTTACATGAGTAGATAACTGTTATAAATTTATGTGACAGTCGGTCAGTTAGTCAGCAACAACATACAACTTTGTACGTAAGTACATCAATTCAAGTTGCCATTATCAAAGAGATGAAGTTGTCGATTCAAATCCCATGGTGGTAGAGGTAGTAGAAGTATAAGCAGTAATCAGAAAGATTAGTGTTTGAAGATGTTATTCCAGCATTATAATCCAGTGAAATAAATTTGGAAAGAGGAAAAAAAGGGATATGAATAATTCAGAAGATTAGAATTTGGGAGAACACAAAGAGTGGATGCACCTGCATCATTGCAAACGATTTTGAACCATGTCATTCAAGGTCTCTAACCATCGGTTGCTATAGTTTCGCGTGACAAACCTTCTAAGATTTACGGTGGAGTGAAACACAATTGTTTGTATTTCACAGATGTTACACTAATTACTTGAACTCACAAGAAATAATTTTTTTACATTTAATATGCAAACAATGATTCATATCAGTTACAGATTGTACTGGAATAAAATGAGATCTAATAAACTATTGTATCTTATTAATTAATAGAAATATCCAAGTATTTATTACGTCTGTAGAGTTTTGTGAATTGTCATTTAGCCACGTTTTTGTTTTTATATTATATTGTATTTAGATATGACATATTGAAAAAAAACACAAGTACTTATATCACACTTTTTAAATGGTGTTAACTTATAGACAGAGATGAATAGTGGCTAGCAATAAAATACAAAAGGCATGTTTCGTCCTATTTCAGACTCATCAGTTAGATTAACTTGAATCCGAGAGTTGGTGTGTACAATCCGGTACTTAAACCTAATATAGCTTGCTTCAAACGTTTATTTATTTTACTGTAACTGGTTTAATATTCAGTTTTTAACAAAATATTTTAAATATTTTTATTCATTTAAATTATATTTTCTGTTAAAATTTAGTTGTCATTTAATAATTTTGTTTGTACCTATTTAATACTCTAGTTTGTCTCAATAAAGAGGAATTGTAC